TGCTGTTTTTAGTATTTTGAATATATCACAATTCATCCATTCTACTGATATACATTTGCATTATATTCAATTTTTATTATGAATAAAGATGTTATGAACATTCTTTTACATGTTTTTTAGTAGATATTAGTTTCTCTTGGATATACCTAGGAATGCAATTACTGGATCATGGGTAGGAGTAGACACTGTCACAGTTTTCCAAACTGACTGTACTATTTTACATTCCTACCATCAACATGTAAGAGATCCAGCTGGTCTATATCCTTGTCAACATGGGCATTGACCATCTTTTTAATTTTAGCCATTCTGGAAGTTGTACAGTAGTATCTGTTTGTTTTAATTTGTATTTCCTGTTGACTAAATGTTGATTACCTTTTTATATGCATACTGGCCATTCTGAGATCCTCTATTAGAAAGTGCCTCTTCAAGACTTCAACACATTGTTAAATTCATTTTCTTATTGATTTTACGCACTAACATATGTATTCTTGGTATGAGTCCTATGTCAGATATATGAATTGCAAATTTCTTCTTCTAGTCTATATTTTGCTCTTCATTCTCTTAATGGTGTCTTTAGATGGAGAGAAGTTCAATTTCAATGAAGTCTAAAGGCAAATTTATCATTTTCATGGTCATTGCTTTCTGAATCCTTTGTAAGAAATGTCTGCCTCCTCTATTCGCTAGTTCTTTGATTTGTGCTTATGGTTTGAGCAGTTCTCCACCTTGCTACGACTTCATGAAATCCTGCATCTTTTGCAAGGTTCACTCTTCTACCTTGCAGTTGATTTTCACTGCATTTATGTTATGTTGATTAGGTGCTAGACAACTCTAGTGGTATAAGTAAGTGGAGATCAATTTTACAACGAGAGAATTCAGCAGTGATTATTTCCATATATAATGACTTCTGTACAAATATATTAAAAATCTAATGTTAAAAAAAAATTCTAATGCCCATTAGCCTAGCATTTTTCCCCAAACATATGTTAGATGATTCTTCCCAATCCTTTTGAACCCAGTCACAAGGAACTCCCTGCTCTATCCTTTTTCCTAAATTAGTTAACAACATCTCCAATTTCCAAACATATAGTTAGAAAACAAACAAACAAACCTTACTCAAACAAACACTATTGGCCAAGCAGGTGTTCCCCTCCCCGACCCATTATCTTTACGCCCAATCAGTCTTACATTCTGCTTTCCAAATGTGTGTGGAATCTGAACTCTGCTCTGCCACAGCCAATGCCCTGGTTCTCTCCCTCACCATCTCTTGTCTGGAGTCTGGAAACTGTCCTTAACTGGTCTCATCCTTACATTCTATCATCAAGTCATCAAAGTTGCCTCTAGAGAACATAAAGTTGATGTTACTCATCTAATCAAGATCCTTCTGTAGTCCCCAGTGCCTACAGGATAAAGTCAGTCTCTTAGCTGAGAATTCACAACCTGGCCCTAACCTTTCCTGGCTTCTCTCCCAGAAACTCCTACTCCAGTCTGACTCCTGGACATCATGCGCTCTCAATTGTCCTGGCCCTGCACTGCTTCCTCCTACAGCTAGAAGTCCTTTCTCCCTTTATCCTCTAGTCAGCTCCCTTCCTCTCTTGACTGGGCCACTCCAGAAGAAGCAACTGTTCCCCCTTATGTACATTTCCACAGCTCTCTACACCCACAAATTTGAGTTCTTACATTTGAGTTAATCATTTATTTGTCTCATTCACTAGTCTACAAACTTCTGGACCTGGGACTTCTCCCTGAACTTCTCAAGGATAAGGTCAGGAGTTAATCTTTACATTCCAAGGACTTGGCAGGGCTGTTCCACAAAGGTTAAATGAAAGAATGTCCCAGCCACTTTTACTCATGTCATCTTTTTTCTATAAATAAAGACTTGAAAAATTAGTACAAGTATGTCAAATTAATGAGCCTAACCAAAACGAGTTTTCTTTGAAAAGTCTCCCAGCAAATCATTCTTTTAAAAAATGTAATAAAAGCAAAAATCTCAATTATTGATTTGTGTTTCCTGGTAGAGATTAGTCACAACTATTTGTTTTAAAAGACCTTTTGAAACAATGGGCATCAAACATAGGATGAATACACGACTTAACCAAAGTAACTGCAGTTATCACCACATAAATCACTACTGAATGCCAATGGAATAAATCATGGTTATTGTTTATACAACTAAAAGATCACAAACAAAACTACTCCCTTCAAAATTTGTTCATGTATTCCCCCCTAACCCATAGCACATCTGTATGATACAGGAAGATGGTATGCATGGTAGTTAAGAACACAGGCTAGGCCAGGCAAGGTGGCGCACACCTGTAATCCTAGCACTCTGGGACACCGAGGCGGGCAGATTGTTTGAGCTCAGGAGTTCGAAACCAGCCTGAGCAAGAGTGAGATCTGCCTCTATCAAAAAAAACAGAAAGAAATTAGCTGGACAACTAAAAATATATAGAAAAAGTTAGCCGGGCATGGTGGTGCATGCCTGTAGTCCCAGCTACTCAGGAGGCTGCGGCAGTAGGATTGCTTGAGCGCAGGAGTTTGAGGTTGCTGTGAGAGCCAGGTTGACACCATGGCACTCTAGATCGGGCAACAGAGTGAGACTATGTCTCAAAAAAAAAAAGAACACAGGCTAGAATCACAATGCTAGTTGTGTGATTTGAACAAATTACTTAAATTTCAATGTGCCTCAGTTTCCTCATCTGTTAAATGAAGATAATAAAAGTACTCCCCTCAGAATGTTGCTGGGTGCCTGGCAGAGAAAATGAATGCATAGTAATGAATGTCAACTATTATTACTGTATTTTTAACTTTTTAAAGCCCTTTTACATATATTGTCTTCCTACCCCCCCTTACAACAGTGCAATGAGATTGTCTGAACAAGACATCCCCCCTTTAAAGATAAGGCACTGACAGAGAAGTTATATGATTACCCTAAGATATTTTAAGTGGCAGAGTATGGACTAGAAACCACACATAACCTTAACCCCAGGCCAAACTGACCAAATCTCCAAGGATCTAGTTCAAAAGAAACATTCTTTTGGATTTTCCCCATTGTTTCCTCCTGGTTGTCAACAACAGCCAGCCTAAAGACCTGGTGGGTGCTGAAGACTCTGAGATTTGGGGGAAAAATAATAATAATAATAAATAAAGAACTAGTGGAAACAGATGAACCACACTTTTTTTTTTTTTTTTTCCTTTGGAGACAGAGTCTCACTCTGTTGGCCAGGCTAGAGTGCCGTGGTGTCAGCCTAGCTCACAGCAACCTCAAACTCCTGGGCTCAAGCGATCCTCCTGCCTCAGCCTCCCACGTAGGTGGGACTACAGGCATGCGCCACCATGCCTGGCTAATTTTTTCTATATATTTTTAGTTGTCTGGCCAATTTCTTTCTATTTTTCGGTAGAGACGGGGGTCTCACTCTTGCTCAGGCTGGTCTTGAACTCCTGAGCTCAAACTATCCGCCTACCTCGGCTTCCCAGAGTGCTAGGATTACAGGCATGAGCCACCATGCCCAGCCAAACCACCCCTTTTGCTCAAATTGAAAAGGTAAGAGAAGCCTCACTTTCACAGTACCTGACACATAGTTGGCACTCCAGAGACAGGAGCTATTGATGACTGAAACACAAAGAGCTATTGTGCTTTCTCAATTACAGAACAAGGTACTGCTCCACAAAAATCAAGCCTGCTACCAAAAACAAGTTGCTTAATATTATGCTTATCTGTCACATCAAAACACAGTGTCACAATAGAAACTAAAAAAGTTTTTTAAAGAAAATTTGCTTTTACTCTCAAAAATAAATAAGTTTTGCAAAAAGGACTTTCATCAAGACAGTTTCTGAAAACTAGTTGTATTTCATGACATGATGTTTCTTTGTCCAAGTGACTGATAGAAATAAGTAATATTTTATCTGGGTAATGTCTTCACCAATATTTATCTTCAATATTTTCCTCAGACTTAAACTGAATCCCAATCCCCCGTCTTCTCTACAGCCACATGCACACTGAATATAGTTAATGAACTTCAAAGGCATATGCAATGCTTCCAGGGAACCCACCTCTACCAGGGAAGTGCAAGAAAGCAAAACGTCTTCACAACTACATCTAAGTGCCTTATCTTTTCATTTCTTCTCTCAGATGGCCAATTAGAAGCTAAGATACACCTTAAAGAGCAGACTTGACATCGGCCCCTGGCTAAGGCCTACCTTTCCTTTCGTGGCACTGCCACTCTGGCACCTACAGGCACGTCTCTGGCGCTCGAAGAATACGAAGGGAAGGCAGCTCTAGCTCCTGCCTAGACAGCTTTCGTCCAAGCCTTGCACGTGGCGGCCACTTGGGATGTTTTTGAACATGGGACTTAACCAGGGCTCAGCTTGAGTGGTGTTTGGGGACAGTGATGCTCCCAGACCCGCCAAAGTCGGAGCATAAAGGTCTTGACTTTGCTTTTGTAAATACCTACAGGACACCCGGCCCTTCACGCCGCTCGGCTACCTTGCCCTCGCCAACCCAGCTCTCACGGCCCATCGGCTACCGACGCCTCCACCAGGCTCCAGGAGTCACTTTCCCGCACCTCCTCTCGCCTGAGCCGGCTACTCCACCACCTGTGCCGGGACCCCAATTCCCGGTCAAGGGACCATTACCGGGCGCCGCGGTCCGGGGAGGGCCCGTGGCTCAGGGAAAAGAGGAGGAGCTGCAGCTCCCCCGACGCCGCCATTTTCCCTGAGTCGTAACCCCCACCTGACAGTTCCAGCCTCCCACCTGTGACTGGCAGGGGACTCCGTGCGACGCCGTGGGAGGCGCGTGGACTAGTCTGGGACTCCGAAGGGGTCACAACCTCAGGGCAGAACCCGCCGCTAATTCATCCCAAAGCGAGGAGGCGTCCAGCCGTCGCCCTAGTAATGCGTCCCGGCAGACTCCATTCTGATTGGCTGTGGATGTCGTGACGCAACGGCGTCCCCGGCTGCGTGGGAAGAACAGGTCCCCCGGCGCCCCGCCCCTGCTCTGCAGCCCGGGGTACCCGGGGCGCCGGTCTTACTCTCCGCGCCTGCCTTCCAGGGCTCTTTTAAAGGGGCCGCGCTTATTTCCTCGTCTGGCCTGGAGAGGAAGGATGCACAGAGTGGAGGGGTGTATAGGGGAGAAACAACAAAATAGGAAATCATCGAAAGTCATTGTCCCAGGGAACCTGATACTTCGTCCAACCCCTAGAATTGCAAAATGGGAAACGGAAATCTGGGAGGTTAATTTACAAACCTAATTTTGTGGCCCCAAGTCACAGGGCAAGTCAGTAGTAGGACGAGTTCTAGAACCCAGGTTCCTGAGGGCGGCGCAGAGCTCTTTTCTAGCACGCGCACTCCTAGGTACACGCTCCCTCCTGCAAGCACCCAGAGTGTTTTCATCACAAACCTCTTTAAAGGTCCTCCTCTCTTCCTACCGTGGTGTGTCTGTCCCCTAACCTACTAGACACTAACCTACTAGACAGTGGGGACTGTGGTTTAACCTCTTTTCATTTCTCCGGCAGATGCCTTCCTCGTGTTGGCCTTCAACAAATACTGAAGAAAAGTCTTAAACGTAGCCACACATCACACACAGAGCCACTATCAGTCATTCATGCATGTTTATATATTTTATTCATTTATTCCGCAAGGCACAGGGAAGGCTGAATATTAAAAAAAAAAGTATAAGGTTCCTGTCCCCACAGAATTTATAGTGTAAGAATAATGGCCAACTAGATTTGGGATGCATAGCTACAATATAGGTAAATTATACCCCCGAATTCCCCGTGAGCACAAAGGTTCCTGTGCTCCTCTCCTAAATCAGCGCCACAGTTTCCCCAACTTTGTTCAGAAACATTTAAATATTTAAAATGCGCTGTGAACTAAAATAAAATCTTAAGGCTCCTCCACACCCACCAGCTGACTGAATGAACCCCCTCCTGGCCAAGGGGATATCTTAAAACTAAATTGCCTGTCAAGAGGAGAGAGGTCAGACAGGCCTCATCTTGACCCCGTCTCTTCTTGGAGATATCCTTTGTAACTCCTTAACAGGCCTAAGGCTATGCAGGACAAACCTGCAGGTCCTCAATTTAGAGAACAAATGTATGTCAGGTGGCTTATCTCTGATTAACAGACTTCCTTATCTTAAAACATTCCAAGCCTTTAGATAAAGCTTCGTGTCTTCAGCCAAGTAGGAGAGTCAAAGAGTCTTTAAACCCACCCATAACCTGTAAGCCTCCCAACCTCCTTCGAGATGGCCTACCTTTTCGGGCCAAACTAATGTATGCTTTCCATGTATTGATTTGTGACTTTGCCTGTAATTCCTGTCTCCGTGAAATGTATAAACCAAACTGTAACCTAGTCACAGCGAGTCCACTTGCTCAAGGCTTCTTGGGCGTGTTTCTGGGTCATGGTCCTCAAATTAGGCTCAGAATAAATCTCATTAAAATTATTTTACAGAGTTTGGGACGGGTGCGGTGGCTCACGCCTGTAATCCTAGCACTCTGGGAACCCGAGGCGGGAGGATCGCTTGAGCTCAGGAGTTGGAAACCAGCCTGAGCAAGAGTGAGACCCCGTCTCTACTAAAAATAGAAAGAAATTAGCTGAACAACTAAAAATATATAGAAAAATAGCCAGGCATGGTGGCACATGCCTGTAGTCCCAGCTACTCAGTCCCAGCTACTGAGGCAAAAGGATTGCTTGAGCCCAGGAGTTTGAGGTTGCTGTGAGCTAGGCTGAGGCCACAGCACTCTAGCCCGGGCAACACAGTGAGACTCTGTCTCAAAAAAAAAAAAATTATTTTACAGAGTTTAGCTTCTTTTCCGTTGACAGTGGTAAAGTTGCATCAGAAAATGAAGAAAAACAATAGAGGGAAATACCAGAAACAAAAGTCAATTCTGCCAATTATGTCTGTGATGTTAGGCCTCATTTTTATCTTTAAAATAAAATTATTCGAATGAAAGATCTCTAAATTCTTTTTTTTAAAAAAAAAAGAGTTGGCATGACCATGCTCCAGAACCCTAGAGGGCTGCACTGTGACTCTTCTCGGACTTGCTGGAGGCTCCACGTACCCTTTTCTCTGCCACAGATATCTCTAGTATCTTGAGATGTGTCAGATGATATAGCCCAGAGGCAGAGCTGCTTATACCACAGACTGTGTGCTGCTAAACTGAGCACTACTCACTACTAATTGCCTCTCACGTCAACTGCTAAATGGGTAGGAACAGTATTCCCATGCTGGTTCCTAAACCCTAAGAGATCTACCAGGTGCTATGCTTCTTTCTTAGTGGCAGAAAATCCAAGGTGCAGTAACTTGTTCTTCATTTTGGAGGAAATATCCTGACATGCCCTAGACCGTTGGACCACTTCATCCTTCAAATAAGACCGGTATTTTAGATAAAATTGTACCAAGATTGTTTTCTTTGTTTTGATATATGTTCTCTGCTTACACAAAATGTTAACATAAGGGGAAGCTGGGTAAAGGGTATTTGGAAAATCTCTGTATTTCTTTTGCATCCCTCCTAAGTCAAAAATTATCTCAAAATTTTAAAAAGTGATAATTATTTTTAAATATTATCAGTGTAGCAAGGTCTTGAATTTTTGTGGGGTTTATTCACCCTGTGGAATGTCCGTGTCTCATCAAAGCATCTAGAATAGAGGTATGCACCCCATAATGACATTTCCATCAACAACAGACCTCACATACAATGGTGGTCCTGTAACATTATAATACTATATTTTTACTGTACTTTTCTATATTTAGATATGTTTGAATACACAAATACTTACCATTGTGTTACAGTTGCCTACAGTATTCAGTAGAGTAACATGCTAGGAGCAATAAGCTATGTCATATGGCCTAGGTGTGTAGTAGGCTATACCATCCAGGTTTGTGTGAGTATACGCTATGATGTTCACACAACAATGGAATCACCTAAACACGCATTTCCCAGATTGTATCCCCATCTTTAAGTGATGCTTGACTGTATTTGTACTTCTTGCTCATCGGATCTGACTAACATATTTTATTATGGGTAGACCATCATGATGCCAGATGGTCCAGGTCCCTTTGGAATACATTATGACAAAAAACAGGAAAATGAACATAGCCTTGGAGCAAAACTGTACAAGTGGAATGTCATCTGTCCCATGTGAATGTTATTTTCCCCTGGATGAGATATTGTTTTTGTTTACTATTTTAGTTGGGATGGGGCGGGGGAAGGCAGTTCCAAGGACTTCCACTTGGCTTTTGCTATGACAATAGCTCTTTCTCCACAGGCTAAGGACCAATGTGAGGTTTCTGTCAACTGCTAAGTATGTCCATTCCAATTACACGTTCAGGAATCAGAAAAAGGACCACTAAGTTTGTAACTGGACCCACTGATACAGACCTGGACAGAGACTGCATTTATTATCTGAATCCAATATGCTCCTACTTTAATGGGCACCAGGGACTGCACCAGCTACTACATCCCCTTTTGCCTACATCCTTCTCTGGTTCAACAAAGGTAAATGCCACAGCATTCCAGGGACTATCAATTCTCCACTTATAACTAGCCATATGATGGGTCCTCATTGCTGTCCTACCATGATCCATCTTCAGAATTCCACCTTTTGTGTCTGCTTCCTAGGACCAGCTCTCTTAGAGAAGCTTCCTAGAAACATTGCCTGAACAGGGATCCTTGGGTGATTTTTTTTTCCTTGAGAAAGTGTATGAAAGAAGCAGAATATAAGGTCAAGAGAGAAAAGTTAAGTAAGGATATGATCTCAACTGGAAACTAGCTTCAGCCTGACCCCATGGGGAGCTCTGGAGTATGAATGACCCCATAGCGTTGTTCAACTTTGAGGCAAGGGGGTTGATATTCCTATATTACATTCCTGTATCAGTTATTGACTGCGAGCTTTCTAAGGGTGGCGGTACAAACCCATGGACCTCCCATGGAGCTGGACAAGCCAGCTCCTGTTTGGCTGAGGGGAGCCCTCTGGAAAAAGGAGCAACTGTGGGTCATTAGTAGCCAAAGCTCACAGCAGCAGGGAGATGGGTGCCCCATCTATTAGGTGCCCCAACAATATCCAGTCCAGATACACCATAAATGCTAAGTCAATGTTAGCTTTTTAACAGAATACATACATGATCCTCTGTGCCTAGAATCTCTGTGAGGGCTACAGAAAAAAAAAAATTCAGTAGTTGTTCCTGGGAAGAGTAAACTGACATATCCCTGTATTTCCCTTTTGTACTATTGGAATTTTAGCCAGGTGTATGTATTACCTTTTTAATTTTGAGGAGGAAAAATTAAAAGCTTCTTTTATGTGCCTATAAGCTTAAGAAATGGTGTTAACCTGCTCTATTGCCCAGAAGGGTAATTTTCCCCCAATTTCTGAATCCTTCCTGACTCCTGCAACAGAGCATCACAGCTGATGAATTACTCAATCTCATGCGCCATTGATTTAATAGTCACATTTCATAGGGCACCTCTGTAATGCTCAAGGGGGCACCACAACACGCAGGAAATCCCAAGTCCTAGTTCTTACTGTACTTCTGTTGTTACCGGGGTACTCTCTATGCCCATGTAATTGCTTCCTCCTCTTCAAAATGTGATAGTAATAAGGTAAAATATGTGCTCAATAAAAGACCTCAGAAAAGTGCCAAATAAGCTGCTGCCAACAAAACTGGAACAACTCTCTCCAGTGCTAATGACTGGAAGGAACACACAGACCAGTGCTGGCAGGGGCCACAGGTCCTTAACTGCAGGCCTAGAGCGACGCATTTCTTACAGCTGTGTTTTCCCCATTTGCGAAAATCCATACAACTAAGACTTAGCATAAACTAATATCAGTAGGCATCCAGTGAGATTCTGGAATTCGAAAGGCATTTGAAATTCAAGATTTTGGTTTCCCAGGAAGT